TTCAGAAAAAACAAACAAAATGTCAAGCCCCAGGTAAACTAGACTTACCCGCTGATCTTTTCAGTAGCTAGAAACGCCCCTGACGGAGGCACAATCCTGATGCTGACAGAACACACTGACCAATGCTCGTTTTGAAATTTAATGTTAGCAATGTTCAGACAACTCAATGAGGAAGCAAAACTAATCACAGGACAAATTACAAAACGGTAAAGTATAAAACATTAGTTTACATCTTTTGTTTCTGTACAATTAAGTAGGCTATACAGAATTTACACTGACTGGCTTGTTCTCCCTATTTAACAATAATAAAAGTTAATGTGCTCAGATTTTACATTCCTTCTATTCTATTTATACTGTGTAAATTTGTTCCCATTATCAATTTTTGACAAAAATTTCAAGTAAAAAAAATTGAAGTTAAACAAATTTCAATTTAGGCTATCAAAATAATTAAGTAATTAATTAATCAAATCGAACCATTGTAGAAATTAAAGACTTGCAATGCATTGAATCATTCCTTATATCATCATAATCAAATCAAATCACCTTGGGACCAAAGATTTACAGTCCTGTTATATACTGTTCTGTAATAAATGTAATTTATGAAAATAATGAACTCTCAGAGGGTAATTCTGTCATCTGTTAAATACACTGGAGATAGGATCCAGGCTCATCTCGACGGTATTCTTCATGATGGGTGTGTAAGGTGGACTTCTGGATGGATTTATTGTTTATTAAAGTAGGTCAAAATGGCAAAACATACAGTTATCTCAAACTAACAGGATATACAAAATGTAACAATATAGCTCAGGATACGCAAATCACAGATTACATGGGCACGACGTCTCAGAAAAATGCAGTGTGTGCAGGATTTTGAGGAATAGTGACTGTCTTTATCAGGAATGTTAGCCCTGCAATTCCTGACAAACACTCGTAGTGTCGCTGTTCACCGGTGAGCTGATTCTGATCAAATCACCCACCCACTATAGTACTATTTAAGGATAAGCTCCTGGTGTATGTTTCAGAAAACGGAACAACCAGAGTCACAAGTATAGTAAAATGTTTTTTCATAGTGGTATTAAATTACAGAGAAAGTCGATGTAATTTTAAAACCTCTCTACTTTCTGGATTTGGATTAAAACGGAGGAGCTCTGATATTGCGCACTGAAAATGGAACACAAAGGATTCACGATAAATGGTTCGATCAGCTGCTGGATTTTTTTCGTATTTACGTTGTGTACCAGCCGTGGAGACATAGGATATTCTATCCCGGAGGAGATGAGACGTGGTTCTGTGATTGGAAATATTGTCAAGGACCTTGGGCTCGATGTTAAAAGGCTATCCGATCGAAATGTCCGTTTAGATGCCGACAGGACCAGCAGAGGCTATTGTGACATAAATCTGAGTACCGGCGATTTGATTGTAGCAGAGAGAATAGACAGAGAGGAGCTTTGTGGATCGAGAGTCTCGTGCACTTTAAATTATGAGCTGATACTTGAAATTCCGCTAGAACTACATCGTATAGTAATACAAATTGAGGACATAAACGACAATTCACCACAATTTACAAATGATCGTATTGAACTTGAGATAAGAGAATCGTCTTTAAAAGGCGCCCGTTTTCTCTTGGATGAGGCGTATGACCCAGACATCGGGAAGAACTCAGTTGAAACGTATGCTCTACAGAATAATGACCATTTTGTGTTGATTGTTAATACAAACGTAGATGGTGGAAAATACGCTGAGTTGGTGTTAGAAATAGAGCTGGATCGTGAACAACAGCAAGAGATTACACTATTACTGACCGCCAGTGACGGTGGGACTCCGCAGAGATCAGGTACAGCAGTAATATACGTCACTGTGTTGGATGCTAATGATAATTTACCCGTGTTTAGCCAAGCTGTGTATAAAGTAAGTCTGCCTGAAAATTCACCGTTAGATTTTGTAGTGTTTACAGTTAGTGCTACGGATGCAGACGAGGGACCGAACGGAGAAGTGACGTATGATTTCGGCCGTGTTTCAGAGAAAGTGAAGAGATTATTTTCAGTAAACAAGAAAACAGGGGATATTAAAACAATGGGGAATCTCGACTTTGAAGAAGAATCTTACTATGAAATGCAAATTCTGGCTAAAGACGGATCAGGTTTAGCAACGAATTCCAAAGTCGTAGTCGAAATTACCGATGTGAATGACAACGTGCCGGTAATATTTCTTAAGTCACCGAACAACCCCGTTCCCGAAAACGCATCACCTGGTACAGAAGTATGTATTATTAATGTGCAAGATAACGACTCTGGTCAAAATAAAAATATTCGCTGCTCAATTCAGCTAAATGTTCCATTTAAATTAGTACCGTCAATTAAAAATTATTATTCATTGGTAACAACCAGCGAGCTGGATCGTGAGGTAGTGACAGATTACAATATAACAATCACTGCCACCGACGAGGGATCTCCACCGTTGTCCTCATCGAAGACAATTCAGTTATCGGTGTCAGACGTTAATGACAACTCACCTGTGTTTGACAAGCAATCCTACAGCGCTCAAGTGACTGAAAATAACAAACCCGGATCCTCTATTTGCTCTGTTACGGCGAGAGACCCGGATTGGAGACAGAACGGCACAGTCTTCTATTCCCTGTTACCCAGTGAGGTTAATGGGGTTCCGGTGTCCTCGTTTTTATCCATTAACGGAGACACGGGGGTGATCCATGCTGTGAGATCATTTGATTACGAGCAGTTCAGAAGCTTCAAAGCCCAGGTTGTAGCCAGAGACAATGGTTCGCCTCCGCTCAGCAGCAACGTGACTGTGAGCGTCCACATGACAGACCAGAATGATAACTCCCCGCTGATATTATACCCGGCTCCTGCAGGGAGCTCCATCATGACTGAGATGGTCCCCAGAGCTGCTCCAGCGGGCTCCCTGGTTTCCAAGGTGATCGCCGTGGATGCTGACTCTGGCCAGAACGCGTGGCTGTCATATCAGATCGTTAAATCCACCGATCCGGGACTTTTCAGTATCGGACAATATAGCGGAGAGATCAGGGCTCAGCGGGACATTGTTGGTACTGACAGCATGAAGCAGAACCTTGTTATTTTGGTGAAGGACAACGGACATCCGTCTCTTTCTGCGACTTGTACAGTATATTTAGTAATTTCAGATAACTTGTCTGACCTTCCCGAGGTTAAAAATGCGTCTTATGAGGAGCCCAGTTCTAAATTGACCACATATTTGATCATCGCCCTTGTCTCCGTGTCCACCTTTTTCCTCACCTTCATCATTCTCGTTGTGGCCGTGAGGTTGTGTCACAGGAGGAAACCTCGGATGCTGTTTGACGGCGCAGTCGCCATTCCCAGTGCGTATTTGCCGCCCAACTACGCAGATATGGAGGGAGCGGGAACTCTGCGCAGCTCTTATAATTATGACACGTACCTGACAACGGGCTCGCGCACCAGTGACTTCAAGTTCGTCACATCTTACAATGACACTCTGCAAGTGGACCATACTGTGAGGAAGAGTCCAGGTGATCCAGGTGGAGAGGATATAACAGAGCGGATGGAGAGACGACAATGCAATGAGGTAAAAGTTGTTGTCATATCAGCATTTCTGTAGCAGTGTAACAAATGGAACGTTCGCTCTGAACTCTTTTTCTTGTTTTTCTGCACTATTCTCACGCTGTAGGGTTCTGCTTATTAACTGTCCTGATAAAGGTCTTCTGTGCAAAGTCCAATTCCTTTACAATGAAACCACTGTATGAATATTATGACATAGACAGGGTAGCTGGAGCCAAATGGTTTGAGAAGTTTGCTTGTGATTGGAAGGTTGCTGGTTCGAATCCCCTGCTAGCAAGGTACCTCTGAGATACCCAGAGCACTGCACTGCTCCTTGGGTGCTAAGCAATAACTGTGCACTGCTATGTCACATATGGGTTTAATACAGATTAGGCCTTTCATTGTTGTGGTGTGTCAACATTGACAATTAATCTCTTTTCGATAAATTATCCATTTTCTAGATTCTATATCTTATTTTGAATGTCGCCTATTTAGTGTAGAACTAAATACCGTAAATCACATGCATCGTTACATGGCGTAGAATGCGTTCATTTCATGACGCGTCAGGCAGCTGCTCAGTAGGTTGAACTTACAGTCTGATTAAAAATCGACAGCCTCACCAAAAGTCATGAGGAGGAAATTGTACTTTCTTACATGTTGAGTTGTTGTGTTTTTGACCTTGACCTGTTTGTTTCTGTCACGTATTGTCTACTGACAGCATTTACTCGATTTCCTTTGAAATTTGACAATGATTATTGGCTGTTTTGAAAGGCAGAGTAATCACTGGTTGTCATTCAGTGCTTCGAAAGTCGCTGTCCTATTGTCATAGTTCTGAAAGTCACTCCATGTCTGTGAATATCTGTGAGTTTTTCTTCAAACATCAAATCCTATTTTAATTTATCTCTAAATGTTTTTCAGTTTCCAACCACGCAGTTTCTTAGTGGCTATATAATGGTGTTCATCTGTGATGTTCTCTCCCATAATGTCTGAAGTGAAATTACCTTGGCTGCTTGTAATATTGGTGGAAGTGGAAGAACGACCAAAGAGCAAACAGAAGAGCAGTGATAGGCTCAGCATCTGACCCATAGAGAGTTTTATTGATTCAGACTCATTCCAAACTTGGCATGTCAGAGCACTGACTCTGCAAA